AGTCAATCTGTGTCTTTTGTGGGTGTGTCTAATCCATTTACATTTAGGGTTGTTATTGAAAGGTACTGTGTTACTCCTGGCATTTTATTGATTTTCATTTGGATTTTTAAAATATTTTTTGTTCCTTTTTTCATTTTATGTTGTTTGTCTTTGATGTTTGTTGGTTTTTCGAAGTGCTAAGATTTAGTTTCTCTTTCTTTCTTATTTGCATTTTTGTTCTACTAGTGGGTTTGGGTTTTTGTGTGTGTGTATTTGTGGTAGTGATTATCATTTATTGAATTCCAGACGTAGGATTCCCTTGAGGATTTCTTGCAGGGGTGGTAGTGTGGTCATGGACTCCCACAGTTTTTGTTTGGAAAATACACTATTTCTCCCTCATTTCTGCAGGATAGCCTTGCTGAGTTTATTATTCTTGGCTGACAGATTTTTTCTTTTTGTATTTTGAATATATCATCCCATTTTCTTCTTCTTTTTGTTGAGAATTCTGCTGTTAGTCTGATAAGGGCTCGCTTATAGGTGAATTGATGCTTTTCTCTTGCTGCTCTTAGTATTCTCTCCTTATCTCTGAGCTTTGCCAGTTTAAGTATAACGAGTCTAGGAGAGGATCTTTCTGGATTGATTCGTCTGGGGATGTTTGAGCCTCCTGGATCTGAATGTCTGTGTCTCTCTGTATACCTGTGAAGACTTTTCCTTTCTCATCCCCTTCTAGAACACCCATAATTCAAATGTTTCTTTTCTTAAGGTTATGTTAAAGTTAGTTCTCCCAGATTTTCTTCATATTTTTAAATTACTTTTTCCTTTTTTTGTCCTCCTGGGCTATTTTGAGAAGACTATCTTCAAGATCAGAAATTCCCTCTTCTTCTTGGCCTTAAGCCTGCTGCTTAAGCTCTCTGTTGTGTTATTTTTTATTTAATTGAATGAATTTTTCAGTTGCATGAGTTGTACTACATTCTTTTTTAAGTTATTAATCTCTTTGTAAATTTGCTTCTTAATATTCTGGATTTTTTTCTCTCTCTCTTTTTTGTTATATAATTGAGTCTTCTTATAACTCAGTGAGTTTCCTTAAGATTGCTGTTTGGAATTTCTTTTCATTTATTTCAAGAGTTTCTTGCTCTATAGGGTCTGGTATTTGAGAATTACAGTATTCTTTTGGTGGAGTCATTTTTTTTTCTTATTACTAGTATTTCTATGTTGGTGTCTGGTCATCTGGTAGAGCAGCTGCTACTTCTATTACTCTGGAGTAGGCTTTGAGGAGAGAGATGTTCTCTTCTTTTTCCAGTCTGTGCTGATGTCTCTTCTTATGTCAATGCAGTAAGGCAGCTGGTGGGCCACCTGCATGGTAGCTGTGGCTGCTACCACTTTTGTAGAAGCTATGGGTGTGGTGGTGGCTGTGGTGGGCCACCCACATGGAAGTGGTGTTTTTGGCATGCTCCTGCTTTCTGCTTGGTGGTGGGGGCTGCTCATGATCCCTCTGTAGGTCCCCATGTGTCATCCTGCCAGGTGGGGGGGGCCTGTCCACAGCTCCTACCTAGGACTTCATGCATGTTCTACCTTTCTAAAAATTTTTTTTAAATGAAATGTAATTGCTATGGTAAGAGAAGTGAGAAATGGAATCATAAAATGCTTATTTAAAACCAGAGTATCAATCGCAGAGTGTGAAAATACATGAGGCAAAAACTGATAAAGCTGCAGGGAGAAATAGGTGAATCCATTATTACTGCAGGAGACTTCAACACTCCTCTACCAGCAATGGACAGATCCAGTAGGCAGAAAATCAGTCAGGACATAATTGAACCCACAGGACCATAAATCAACTGGACATAGTTGACATCTATAGACTGCTTAGTCCAGCAAAGCAGAATACACATTCTTCTCAAGGTTGCACAGAATATTTACCAACATAGAACACATTCTCAGCTATAAAACACACCTTAACAAATTTAAAATAATATAAATCATAAAATGTGTACTCTCACATCAAAATGGAATTAAACTAGAAATTAAAAGAAAGCTGAAAAATCACATAATACATAGAGATTAAGTAACACTTCTGAATAACAATCAAAGAAAATGTCTCAAGAGGAACTTTAAAATATTTTCAATTAAATGAAAATGAAAATATAACTTTTTAAAATTTGTGAGATACAGCAGAAGCAGTGCTTAGAGGGAAATTTACAGCATTGAATGCATATACTAGAAAGGAAAAAAGACCAAAATGCAATAAGGTAAGCTTCCCTTGTAGGAAACTAGAAAAGGAAGAGCCAAATAAACACCAAGAAAGCAAAGGGAAAAAAATAATAAAAATTAGAGCAGATTAGAGCAGAAATCAATGAAACAAAAACTTGGAAATTAATAGACACTCAATGAAACCACAAGCTGGCTCTTTGAAAAAGTCAGTAAATTTGGTAAGCCTCTAGCCAGGCCAACTCAGATGAAAAAAAGAGAAGACACAAATTAGTAATGTTAGAAGTGAAATAGGGGCCATCATAACAAATCCCATGAACTATAAAAGGATAATAAAAGAATATTATGTACAGCTTTATGCCCACAAATTTGATAACATAGTTGAAATGGACCAATTCCTTGAAAGACAAAATCTGCTGTAACTCACACGAATAGAAATAAACAATTTAAATAGATCGATATCTATTAAAGAACTTGAATCAATAATTGATAACCTTTCATAAGAGAAAGCACCAGGTCCAGATGAATAATACCAAACATTTAAGAAAGAGATTGCACTAATTCCCTAAAATTGCTTCCAAAATACAGAGGCTGAGGGAGCACATCCTAATCCATTCTATGAGGCCATCATTACTTTAGTGCCAAAGCCAGATAGAGATATTACGAGAAAGGAAAATTAGAGTCCCATGTCTCTCATGAACATGGATGCAAAAATTCTTAACAAAATTTAGCAAATCAAATCCAACAATGTGTAAAAATAATTGTACACTATGATCAAGTGGGATTTATTCCAGGTATACAAGGCTGATTCAACCGTTGAAAACCAATTAATGCAATTGGTCATAAAAATAGGCTACAGAAGAAAAATTATAATAGTATTAATAGAAAGAAAAAAAGCACTTGATAAAATCCAACACTCATTTATGTAAAATATTCTCAGTAAACTAGGAATCGAGGGATACTTCCTCAACTTGGTAAAGAACATCTACAAAAAATCTTCAGCTAACATTATACTTAATGGTGAGAGACTATACACTTTCTCCCTAAGATCAGGACAAAGGCAAGGATGTCTGCTCTCACCACTCCTATTTAACACCACACTGGGATTCTTAGCTAATGTAATAGGACCAGAAAGGGAAACAAAACTATATAGATTGGGAAGGAAGAAAAAAACTGCCTTTATTCATAGTCAATGTGATTGTCTATATGTAAAACACCAAAGAATCAGCAAAAAACTCCTGGAACTAATAAGCAATTATGGCAAGGTTGCAGGATACAAGGCTAATATACAAAAGTCTATTGCTTTCCTATATACCACCAAAGAACAACTGGAATTTGAAACTTTAAAAAAGTATGAGGGCTAAAGGTTGGGAAAACTGGGAATTTTGAGAGCAGAGAAGTGGCAGGAGATTGGCCTAAAAAAGTAGAAATTGAGGCTACATTGTGAAAGACCAAGGAAAATGTTGGGGTCTGTTTTTCAGAAAATTCATGATTTGACTCATGGCAGGCAGTGTATAGGATGGATTAGAGAGAAGGGAAGGGAAGCTAGAGTTACTAGAGGCAGGAGACTAGTTCAGAGGCTACGAACATGATTTGTCAAAGAGATAACGAGGGTTTAGACTACATTCATGGCAGTGGAGACAAAGTGGAGAGGACAAATTATTCAATAAATGATTTGAGGAAGTGCCTACTAGGTGCCAGGCATTGTTCTAAGCACTGGGGATGCAGCAACAAACAAAACAGGTCACCCATTGGGGGTTTCAAGAGGAGTGTAAGTGACAGAAGTTGGTGTCTGATTGGATGTGGAGGGAAGGTAGAAGAGTGTGATGAAACAATTCAGGGATCATTGATACCTGGATTTATTTTTTGAACAACTGAGTAAGTGAAATCATTGGACCTGTTGGGTAGAGAAGACCTAGGAGACATGCAGATGAACTTGTTTAGTAGGAAAATGAAGAGACATTCTGGAGATCTGGAGTAAGGGAGAAACCTGAAGTACAGATTTTGGCGTCCTCGTTGGCATAGAGGAGGCAATGGAAGCCTCAGGGGTAGATGATGCTGTCTAAGAACATGAGGTGTGAAAGCAGTGGACCCAGGATAACCGTGCAAAGCACCCACATCTGTAAAGCGAGTAAAGAAAGGGGCAGAGTGCTCAAGTTTGTTGAGTGCCTACTAGGTTGCAGGTGCTTTGACATTTTACTTCACTGAAATTTTGCAATAAATCTGTAAGGCCAATAGTTTTGCCTCCCCCTTCCCCTGCCCCAGTGAATGAAATGGACCCAGAAGTGTAAAAGGAGAACTAGGGGAAATTAGGAAGTGAGATTTTCATCAGGGTAAAATGTTTCAGATGGATCAAAGAAGATAAAAAATGTGAAGAAAATTGTTGTTTCACACCCATCAATATTTAACCAAAATTGAGTCATATCGTATTTGATGATTGGATTTTTATTACTTTCTCTGATGCTTCATATTCAAAAGGGAGAGAAAGTCAACAACACAACAACAAACCCCTCAGGTGTGCAGTTGAGAGCAAGGCATAGGGTGTTGCTTGCATCAAGTCTTACTTTGTCAGCATTAATAATACTTATAGGTAACAAAAGCATTGGCTAAATGTACTGTAACTGCTTTGGAATCGTTTTTCGTTTTGTTTTTTTTTTCTCCTAAAGTTCTTGGATGAAAGGGAGGTAAGTTGCTGTGGACCAAAATCTGCTAAGAAACCAAACTACGAGAACAAAATTATGAGACTGACACTTGAAATTAGAGCATCAAAGACACTCTCTAAAGACATTTTAGTGAGAACGAAGAAGCATGAAGAATCTTATTAGTAAACTCTTTTATTTGGTTTATCTTTTAAATGTAGTATCAAAAAATTATTAGCAAGAAAATTTGATAATATGAAGGAAAGCAAGGAAAAAATAAGCCGGACGATTGAGCAAAATTGAGACAACATTCATTTAAAATAAATCAAAAATTTGATTTTTTCAATGCCAGTGATTGTAATTCAATCTATCCATCAGATTTCACTTGTTAAGATGGATTCGTACTCCAGCTGAAGAGTTGTCCTCTGACTGTAGTTGTTTCAGAGACATCTCTTCACCTATAAGGGACACACAAAGAATAGTTTCAAATTTTCTCAATCTACTTTGTTGTTGTTGTTTTTTAAAGAATCCCTTCATTGCAGAACCATTTTAGATTTACAAAAAAGTTGAAAAGATAGTACAGAGTTCCCATATACCACACACCCTGTTTCCTGGTGTAATGTTGGTTAATACCTTACATTTCTATGGTAGATTTGTCGCAACTAATAAACCAATGTTGATATATTATTGTTAATCAAAGCTCATACTTTATTCAGATTCCTCAGTTTTTACCTAATGTTCTTTTTCTGTCCCAGGATCTCATCTGGGATGCGACATCACATTTAGTTGTCATATTTCCTTAGGCTCCTCTAAACTGTGACAGTTAGTCAGACTTGCCTTGTTTTTGATTTTGAGGAGTACTGTCAGGTATTTTGTAGAATGTCCCTCGATTTAGGTTTGTCTGATGTTTTCCTCGTGGTTAGACCAGAGTTACGGAGTTTTGAGAGAAAGAGCACAAAGTAAAATGCTCTTCTTATCATGTCACATCAGGCGTGCAAACTATCAATGATTTATCCCTGATGATGTTAACTTTGATCACCTGGCTGAGGGAGTTTTATCAGTTTTGTCCATTGTATAGTTACTCTTTTCCCCCTTTTCATTCTGTAGTCTTTGAAAAGAAGTCACTATGCAAAACCACACTTAAGGGGTGGGGAGTTATATTCCATCTTCTTGAGTGAGATCTACATAGTTGTTTGGAGTTCTATATGGGAGATTTGTCTCTTCTCCTATAGAGAAATTTTCCTGCCACTTCTTCCTTCTCAAAATTCTCAATTTTCCCTGCCTTCAATATACACACTTTTTAAAAATTTCAAATTTTAATCAATCGTTGATGTCAGTATGGACTCATAGGTATTTATTTTACACTTTGGGTTATAATCCAATAGTACCTTATTTTGTGCTTAAATTGTTCCTTTTTGGCTAGGGGGACTTTTTCATCTGGTTCCTATGTCCCTTTGTCTCAATCTATTTTAACATAAATCACGTTGTTATCCTCTGCTCTTTGTCTCTTGATTGTCTCATTTCAGATATTTACATATCTTGAGTTTCATTGTCAGTAAATAATGTAGGGTCCAAGTTGATGAGCAGGAGTCAGGACTGCCAAGATATTTTACTTCAACTAGTCCAAATGAGACAGGAGGTGCTCAGTTTCCCTGGGCTCGGGTTACAGGACATGCCTCTGGGTTCCAAGCCATTCCCCAAGGTTTCAGGCCCCTTCTATTCACCCTCCTTTAGAGGAGATTTACTGTTGGTAGTTAGACCTAATTTTAGAACCAAGGTAGAAAAAATGAGACCACAAGGGGCTGGCTTATGCAAACCCATTGGCTGGTCATGCTCAGTAGAGAGGGGTTGTGTAACCCTGGTAGCCAAGCATGCTCACTGGAAGGGAGTTTATCCTTGAATGACCTTCAATTCGAGGCACTAGATAGCACAGAATATTTTTGAATGTGTCTGGTTCATATAATAGAGTTTGACCAAAGAACATTGTCCAAGAAGAGACCAACTGAGCCTGTGCAGGCCTATGTTACATAACAGGGAACCACCCCCTTAACTGAATATTCATTACAAAGCAAAACTATAAAAGCCGAATCCCTGCTAGAGGTGGGGTTGATGCTCATTTTCCTGGGGCCAAACCACCCTTCACTGGCTGAGGTGAGTATGCTCTATTTTAGTTTTCAGTTTACTTTTAGCAGGTGACTGCTCACTCCCCTGAGCCAGCCTGCACTCTGTCCTGAACTTTAAGTGTGTATTTCTTACTTCTGTGTTTAACCTGTGCGGGCCCTGCTCAGTCTCTGGAGCTAGGCCGCACTCTCTGTGAAGTCTATGTCTCTTATTCCTTATATTAAATCTGTTCTCACTTTCTACTGAGTCTGCTCTTGAATTCTTTCCTGTGGTGGAGTCAAGAACCTGGTAAGAGGATGGGTTGGGTTGAGGCTGAGTATGGGTCCTCCCAGACCCTTCTTCCAAGATCACAAAGATTTCTGTGACATAGTTTCCCTGAGGCTAAAAAAAAAAATTAGTTTGGACGTCAAGGCTCATGATTATGTATGTGTGGGTAGTTATTTCATCCAACTTGTTTCATGTGGTTATTTAAGTAAACAGTGTTGCAAGGGTCTAACTCCACATCTTGGCTTCTGGCGTCATCTTTTCCAGTCTGTGCTATAATACCATTATCCAATGAATATTTCTAAAGTGTAGCTCTATTTACTTACTTAAATCCTGCAATAAGTTCCCAATGCTTACAAAGTCATTAGCCTAGTATTCATGACATTGCATGACAGGACCCAAACTCACTTTTTAAAATCATTCTTTAAAATTATTTTCCTGCTTATACATTATGTTCCAGCTAAGTTGGACCTAAGCTCGTAAAGATGTTTTTTCCTGTTTTTGCCTTAATAGTCTCACTAAAGTTGTGGCTGGTTAGAAGCACCATTCCATTTCTGTTCATTAAAATCATCTTGTGTCAGTGATCTTCTGTTTGTCCCACGTGACCCGCTTCCACCCGTGTCTACCATGCTGTATGCCCTGGGAGGCTGACCTGTGGATCAGAGGATACTTTCCTGCCCTCTACCTTTCTGGTGGGTTCAGCCAATGGCAAGCCCAGAAGCACACGAGAACGTGAAGTCAGCAAACTTTTTCCCTTGACTTCTTCCTGTGGGGTTTCCTCAGGCTGTCTGTCCCTCCATTGAGAGAACACTGCTCCTCTCAGGGCAGCCTTCTTCACTCTCCTGAGGGATTCAGGCAGCTGCTCCCTCTTGTCCTCCCTGAGGCCTGGGGCTGGTAACAAACAGCTTACCTGTTGCTAGCCAGGTTACTGCACCACCCCCTGCCATTTCCCTACACCCCCCACCCACGCCTTTGAAATGAGTCTTTGCTAAATTGAGTGCCGTCTATTTCTTGTTGTGAACTGATATACACTTCCTCATTAAAATTGAAAACCACTTCTTTCAAGAAATGTTCACTCATGCATCTCACAAGATGTGATCTTTTCCTCCTGTGAATATAAAATAGCACTTTGTGTAAAGACATTGGTAACACTCTGAATTTAGGGGCTTTTCTAGTCCCCTTTCTTGAATATAGTCTGTAAGGACAGGGGGACCAGATTACTTATTTTTTGTCCCCCACAACTCCTAGCAGTACTAGATAGTTGATATTTTAATTGCTAAATAAATGAACTTCATTTATTTTTAAAATTTTTGCGGCTGCCCATAGGGGGATCCAGACTGTTGAACTTGGAGTTACACCACGTTCTGATCACCTGAGCTAACTGGCCAGTCCAAACATTTTTTCAATACATTTCCCCAGAGTTATTTCTGTTAACCTATCGAGAGTCCTCAGCCACGTGAGAAAGGAAGTGGGCTATTGCAAAGAATGGAAAAATTAATGTTTTCTTCCCACACTCAAGATATATTATATAGAAGACTGACAAAATTATGTTGATTTCTACTTAACTACATTCTCAAGAGGTAATCATGAGAAAAATTAGTTGAAAATGACTTGATTGACTTTCCAAGGGTGAAATTCTATGTAACATTTCTAACTATTCTAAATTCTATCTCGACCACTCTCAAAGTTTACCTTCTCTAGTAGGACTTTTCTATTTAACTTCACCTCAGTATGATAAATGCTTTATGCCACAATCAATACAAATATTACACAATATGTAATTTCCATTTGATTTATTATTTTGTAATTATGTTTTTGTCAGTTTCTTTTATTAATTTGCTTATCTTAGCAAGGGGCATGTTTTCTACTTCTTTTTAATCTCACTATGTTCTGGTATTTTAAAGGTGGTATGTGCTGCTTCATTAATAGACTAACAAACTTCTGAGAAGTTCAGAAAATTCCCCATTCCTTTATTTACTAAGATATGGTTTCAAAGTATAGAGCAATCTTCTTCATAAGAAGAAATTGAAATAATTCTTTACATTGTTATAGTATTTT